CCAATTACAGTGGTACCTCGGGTTCCATACGCTTCAGGTTACAGACTCCGCTAACCCAGAAATATTACCTCGGGTTAAGAACTTTGCTTCAGGATGAGAACAGAAATTGTGCTCTGGCGGCGCAGCGGCAGCAGGAGGCCCCATTAGCTAAAGTGGTGCTTCAGGTTAAGAACGGACCTCCGGAACGAATTAAGTTCTTAACCTGAGGTACCACTGTATGTGACTTCCCAAAGACCTCTGAAGGCAGTCCTGTTTTTCATGCTTGTTGTTTCGCTGTGTTTTTATATTATGTTGGAAGCCTCCCAGAGTGGCTGGGACAACCCAGTCAGATGGGCGGGGTATAAATAATAAATTTTTATTATTCTTACTGGTCTCTGTTCCTCAGATCTCATGAAAGAGGGAACTGGAGGCAGGCAGGCAGGCAGAAGCCAGAATCAGGAGCAGTAAAACTGCACTCTTTGCTCCCATTGTGAGGAGGGGAGTGAGCCAAGCTGGGTAACTTCCAGCTGAACATGGCAGGGAGAGGGGGGTTCCCTGCAAATCTTCTGCGGTGTTGTCCCATGCTCTGCTCTGCTTTCACCTGGTCAGGTGCTCTGGAGCATCGAAGGAAGACCCCAGCAGCAAAAGCCTTGTGGGCAGTCCCTGTTTCTACTTTGGAAGGGGGAGCAAGTCTCCTCAGGCCGATGACTAGAGGAGCTTTTGCACGGGGAAAGCTTCTGGTGGGTTGCTGCTGCTGCTGCTCTTTAAGGGAATGGCAGAAATGCCATAGCTGCGTGTGGAGAGTGTGCTCGCCGGAGGCTGTGTGCACATCCGTGTGTGTGCATGGATGGTTTTTGCAGTCTCTCCTCTCTGGTTGGAAGATTCTTCTGAGAACCCTTTGCCCAGGCAGGGTTTGGAGGTTTTTTCCATCTGTTGTGCTGCAGTAATGCCAGAGTTTTTTGCTCATATGTTTGGCTGTCTCAAGACTGAAGAGCCTGAACAGTTCCAGTTTCTGAACCGTTACTGGAGGGGAGAGAGGGGAATGGGATTCAATAAAGATTATAGATATATCCTACCACCCAGGAAGCTGTGTGGTGTCTTTGAATAAACCATGCAAATAGGAGACTTCAGCATAAACGTGGGATGTCGTGGTTGCGAGCCTGAAGGTGTTAGTGGAATCCCAGTTTCTTTTTACAGTGCTACCTCGGGTTAAGTACTTAATTCATTCTGGAGGTCTGTTCTTAACCTGAAACTGTTCTTAACCTGAAGCACCACTTTAGCTAATGGGGCCTCCCGCTGCCGCCGCGCTGCCGGAGCACAATTTCTGTTCTCAGGTTAAGCAAAGTTCTTAACCTGAGGTAATATTTCTGGGTTAGCAGAGTCTGTAACCTGAAGCGTCTGTAACCCGAGGTACCACTGTACAAGGAATTGCAGAGGACTGAATTCGCTTTACTCTCCTGAACCACGAGGCCTGCTAGGCTTTGGTGGTGGGGAAATTGGTTTCAGGGGTACAGGCAGAAGAAAGGCAACTTTTTTAAAAAAAGAGAGAGAAAGTGCTTCTTTTGCTAATGATTGCAGAAGATAACTCCCTAATGGAGAAGCTGCCATAAGTTTCAGCTCAATTTTGCTAAATATCAAAAGGTGCAACCAGTGAGGTTTCTTAGTAGCATTGCGCTGCAAATGCCTTATCACTGTGACACCTTCAGTAGAAACTCCCAGTAGGTCACCAGGCATGGGGCAGCCAATTCTCTCTCCTTTCTGCTGCTGCTCTCCCTGCTTGCTACACACACACACACACACACACACACCCTGGGCCCAATCTCACAAGGTTTGTGCTCTCGTTCCTCCCATCCACTGTCATTACTCCAGTCTTTTGCATGGAACAAAATCGTCCTAAAACTGGAACCGTGTCTACAGAACAATTTATGTCCCTCAAGAAGGATTTGGGTTCCATTGGTGTGGAGTTTATGGAGAGCTGGCCTAGGGTGCTGCACAGAAGGGTGGACTTGTGACCAAAAGTTAATAGGATAGGCTGGTACTTTGGAAGTGTGCCAGGCCGGCACAGCACAAAGATCTTAAGGTCTAAGGAAGATCGAGAGCTCGGCTGGAGCTCATCAGTTCCAAGCTGGGAATCCTTTATTCATCTGGTCTTGAACTGGCCTATGGGTCCTCTATTTCGGGCCCTCTCACCTGCAGGGGGGTGTTGAGTTTTCTGGATCCAGAGGAGTTGCATGTGATCTCTGCCTAACTTGCAATCGAGGTACCAGACATGAGGGTTTCTTCCTGTAAAAAGAAACCGCTAGCATTTGTGTGTCTAGAAAGGGTTGGAGTTTTTTTAATGAAGAAAAAAAAGTAGTTCTTGATGCTAACAAGATGCTAATAAATCTGTCGCAGTAACAGGCTGTAAGTGGGTGTTAAGAGTGGCAGTCAATAACTTGGCACACAGCAGCCTTCACCTTATCTGCTGAGCTAGGAATTTCCTTGGCCTCAGTTCCCACCACTGCTGTGTAACACATTTTTAATGGGCTTTCTTGGCTGGAGAGGCCAAAGTGCTGGGTGTGTGTGTGTGTGTGTGTGTGTGTCTTGTGCCCCTGTGAGGAAGTACAGCAATTGCACTCCCCTCTCCTCCCTCAGTTTCCTGGAGATGGCCAGGATAAGGACCCTCCTTAATCCAAGTTTAAATTTATGACAGCTGCAGCCCATCATTGCTCACCAACTTCCACCCCACACACGAAATGAGAAATAATTTGGCTGTGTGGCCCTTGCTCTCTCACAAGACGGCTTCACCACTGAGTAGCAGCTGCCGCAAGGAAAAGGCCACTTCACTTCTTGCTGTCTCTGAAAAGTAAATTCGTTGTGAGAGATAATGGGGAACGGTCCCCTGCAGCCACGGGTTGGGGCTGGTAATACTGTTCCCCAAAAAGAACCCACCCATTCTCCACTCTAGGATTGCCACACTCTTTCTTCCAAATGCTCCTTGAGTCCTGCTGCTTCTGTGAAGTGTCGTTCCTAAGAGAGGCAAAGTCTCCATACCAGTAAACTGGGAATTGGCCCAATTCAGCTCCTCCATCTCTCCCCACACCCCCTTCTCTTGCCTCCATCTGGTGATACAACTGCAAGCTGTCTTGAGGCGAGGGACTTTTTGCGCAGAAGTCTTCCCCGCTGCCCTGAATGGAACTGCCAGGGCTGGAGCCGCTAAACATTCCTGTTTACCTCAAGGAGCGTCTCCACCCCCATCGTTCTGCCCGGACACTGAGGTCCAGCGCCGAGGGCCTTCTGGCGGTTCCCTCCCTGCGAGAAGTGATGTTACAGTACAGGGAACCAGGCAGAGGGCCTTCTCGGTGGTGGCACCTGCCCTGTGGAACGCCCTCCCTTCAGATGTGAAGGAAATAAGCAGCTATCTTATCTTTAAAAGACATCTGAAGGCAGCCCAGTTTAGGGAAGTTTTTAATATTTAATGCTGTATTGTTTTTAACACTCGATTGGGAGCCGCCCAGAGTGGCTGGGGAAACTCGGCCAGATGGGTGGGGTATAAATAAGGTTGTTGTTGTTGTACCTGACTTGTTTGCTCTCTCAGGGCCACTCTCTTGACCGAACTGCAGGCGTTGGTTGGCACTTTGGGCAGCTGGTGTACCTGCCTTCAGGGATGAGGTTTGCCAGAGTGGACTGGAGGGCATTCAGGTGACAAGGCGATGCCTCCCATGGGCTGGAAAAGCCAAGGGTCTTCCCAAGCCTTTAAGGAGCCACCCCATCCCTCCAGATCTTTCCTGCCTCTGGTCAGGATAGCACGGTGGCCTTCTTCCTCTGTCATCATTGTTTAATTGGTGGTGAAAGACTTGGGAAGACTCTGCCTCCTCAGTCCAGAGGGAGGGACCATCCCATCAGCTGAATGTCCTCTGGTCCACTCTTCAAACAGAATTGCAGAGCTGGAAGGGACCCCGGGGGCCATCCAGTCCAACCCCCTGCAATGCAGGAATCTCAGCTGAAGCACCCATGGCAGGTGGCCACCCAGCCTCTGCTTGGATGGATGGCGGCTAACAGATTGAGGTTGAATCCTGACAAGACAGAAGTACTGTTTTGGGGGACAGGAGGCTGGCGGATGTGGAGGACTCCCTGGTTCTGAATGGAGTCACTGTGCCCCTAAAGGACCAGGTGCGCAGCCTGGGAGTCATTTTGAACTCACAGCTGTCCATGGAGGCGCAGGACAATTCTGTGTCCAGGGCAGCTGTCTACCAGCTCCATCTGGTACGCAGGATGAGATCCTCCCTGCCCGCGGACTGTCTCGCCAGAGTGGTGCATGCTCTAGTTATCTCCTGCTTGGACTACTGCAATGCGCTCTGCGTGGGGCTACCTTTGACGGTGACCTGGAAACTACAACTATCTGACTTTTAGAAGACATCTGAAGGCAGCCCTGTTTAGGGAAGTTTGTAACATTTGATGTTTTATTCTGTTTTTAATCTGTTGGGAGCCGCCCAGAGTGGCTGGGGGAACCCAGCCGGATGGGCGGGGTATAAATAATAAATTATTATTAATAATAATAAATTATTGTTAAAACCTCCAAGGAACGAGAATAAGAATAATTACCTCTGCCATCTTCAGCACCAGGATGCAAGCAGAAGGGAGTGGCTGTCGAGAGGCCTGTGGGTGGGACTAGGGGAAAATTACTGAGCAAGCCCAGCCCGTCTGTCTGCAACAGTGATTGTGGGTGGGCCATAGAATCTTAACTCCTTTTTGGAAGGAAAAGTAAGTTACTTTTGGAGCCGTGGGGTGCTGGGATTTCACCTCCTGGATCGTGCTGCAGCCAGCATCATCTGGGCTCCCCAAAGCTCAAGGTGGGGTCAGTGATTTTACAGCTTGTGTAGGTTTTCTTCCCCCCTTTCTGTTTGTGTTTGCCAATCTACTTGAAAGATCCCCGTGAGGTGCTTGCGACATGCATAGGTGCCCAGAGCTGTGTTGTGGCTGCTTGTCTTCCCCACCACCGAATGCCCACCCCCATTAAGCACCATCCTTCCCTCCCACAGCTCAGATCCTGGGGCAAGGCTCCATGATCCCCGGGCAGCCTTTGCCAGGCCGGGCAATGCCAAGCGGATCGGCCAGCGCTCACCAAGCCAGCAGCAGCAGCAGCGCTCCCCCGTCCGGTGCGGCAGGAAATATCGTGGGAGCCCGGGGGGCCCTGGCTTCTCCGAACGGCTTGTGTAAGTAGAACAGGTCACCTGTGCTTCCCCACTGCATGCCCCTTCCCACTCCCCAACCCCAGCTCCCAGACTGCCACAGAATCACAGAGTTGGAACCGGCCTCCAAGGCTCATGTAGACCAAGCGCCTGCAATGCCGGGATTTTCCTGCCCCATTTGGGGCTCCTCTGCACCATCACTGGTCTGCAGATACAGATAGCAAGAGCAGTCCGTCTTCTGACTACTTCTTCATTGTGGTTGAGTGACCTTTGTAGACAGAGTCAGTTCTCCTTCACCTCACTCTAGTCCTATGACACCCAGGGTCTCTTCCCCCAACTCCACCCAGCCCATCATCCTCAGAACTCTTCCTGCTTTTGCTGGGTCAGGCCAATCCATCCTTCTGCCCGGACACTGAGGTCCAGCTCCGAGGGCCTTCTGGTGGTTCCCTCCCTAAGAGAGGTGAGGTTACAGGGAACCAGGCAGAGGGCCTTCTCGGTGGTGGCACCCGCCCTGTGGAATGCCCTCCCACCAGATGTCAAAGAGAACAACAACTACCAGACTTTTAGAAGACATCTGAAGGCAGCCCTGTTTAGGGAAGCTTTTAATGTTTGATGCATTACAGTATTTTATTATTTTGTTGGGAGCTGCCCAGAGTGGCTGGGGAAGCCCAGCCAGAAGGGCAGGGTATAAATAATAAATTATTATTATTATTATTATTATTATTATTATTATTATTATGCCTGATCTGGTGCTCCACAGGTCATAGAATTGTCGTGTTGGGAGGGATCCCGAAGGTCATCTATTCCAACCCCCTGCAATGCAGGATCGTGGGTCACTGGTTCACTTGGTGAGAGGGTCAGTTGGTCAGCCTTGGAGGGGCAGTCTCCTCTCGAGGAGATTTATCAGGGCACAGCAACCTCATTGGCCGTTGCAGCCGCTGGTCAAGAGGGGTCTCTGATTTCCTAAAGTGGAAGGCTGCAAGCCAAAGGATCTTCCTGAGATGACCTCCCAGCTATAAAGACTCTCCTCTGGACACTGGGAGTGTGGGGTGGCAGAGGAATTCCCCCAGTTCTTAATTTGATAGATAGACGGGTCAGATGTTCACGTTGAGAAAAACCCAGCAAGCGACCTCCCAGTTCTGGTCCAGGAGAGTGTCTTTGTAAGACAGTGAGACGGCCAGCGCCATCTCCCAACCAGAGGGTGGTGCCATCCTGGGGCTGAAAGCACTGCCATTTGGACTCCTGGAAGGGCAGGCAGTTTTAGGGAGCGAGGAATGTCCCTGCCAAGCTTCCTGCCTTTAATTCTCGGTTTCACACCCATTCCTCTGCAGATCCGCAGCAGCAGCAACAGCAGCCGCCGCAGCCACAGCCTCCAGTTGACGGGGCGACCCCACCTCCTGCGGGAGCAGCAACAGCCTCCGCAGCTCCCTGATCGGTCCGGCAACAAGGCGTCTCTCAAGCTGTGACAGTAGCAACCAAAAACACCATTCCTCAGTTTCCTGCTCCTTCCTTCCCTGGCCTCTGCCCCCGCCCCCCATGCGCCCACACCCAGACCTCTTCCCCCACGCAGTTTTGGTGACGGTTTGTGCCTTCCTTTTCTGCCAGGAACACAGCCAGAGCTGACAGTGCTCCAACTTGTTACTTCGCATGTTGAGCCTCTGGGTCCTCTACCTCCCCAGGTAGGAAATGCAGCGTAACCAGAAGCCCGTTGGGTCCCTTCGTTGTGGGAGGCGAAGCGTCGCCTTGCCGCCGCCCCTCGGTCACAAGAGTAGAAGCGTTTTGCGGCCAGGGCGGTGGGGAAAGCAGCCTGCCTCTCCCCTTGGCCTCGGCTTCTCGGTTCACGCTGACCACAGGCGCGGCAGGTGGGCAATTATTCAGGAAGCTTGTCGAGCCCTGGGGATTGCCTGGCGATATTATTAAAAGGAAATATCGATCTCGCCCGAGAAGAGCCGGGGGCCAGATCAATTGGCGGGGTGCTCTCTGCAGCGATGTTCGCTTTTCCCACTCCAGCCTTTCAGCGCAAGGGGAGTGGGGTCGATGCATCCCATTCTCCCTCCCTCTCGTTTCATATCAAACAGGTCACCACAGTAGCGGAGGGAGGGGTAAATAAAGCCTGCCCTGTATCCTTGGAGCATATATTGCGGTGTTCCTCTTTCAAAACGAGCCAGCAATCAAACTCCCATAGATAGCAAAGCGCAAGTTTACAGGATTGTGCTGGAGCAGCCAGGGTGTGGGTGTGTGCTTACCCCAACTACCTCTTGCAGGCAGCCGTGGGGTGGGCTGCAGGGAGCAGATTAAGGAAACACGTTTCCTTTCTGGAACGGTCCGAATAGGAGCTTGGAAGCATCACTGACATCTTCCTTATTTGCAAGCACACGTAGGTACATTGCACACTCCCTGCTTGCTTGTCTTCCAGCTCTTTGCTGGGAACACTTGAACCCCAGGGGCTGCGCAAGGAGCAAGGGAACCTGTCCGCCTACAACCACAATTGGGGGCAGCCGTGCTCTCTGGATGTTGCTGGAATTGAAACTCCATCACCCTTGACCGTTGCCCGTGGTGGCGGCAGCTGATGGGAGTTGTAGTCCCAGCGTCATATAGAAGGCTGCAGGTGAGCTCGCCCTCGACCTACAACTTGGGCTGCTCCGTATCCTGCTCCTTGCCCAGATTGTGGGCGTTGCGTCCCTATCCCGTTGCCAGTCTTTCTTCCTCTCGTTCCTGCAACTTGCAAAGGAGTTCTTGTGTAAATGAGCAGCTTTGGCTTTGGTTGAGAACAATGCCGGGGAAGTGGGTGGTCTTGCAGCCCACTGGGCTGGGGAGGGGCCATTCCAGGGGGGGCAATGTACCAGTTTTCCAAGTTAGGCCTCACTGCTCCTGTACGGTTAGTGCCCCTCCTAATACCACCGTACACAAATAAGGGTTGCCAGTAGAGGTTGGTTTAATTCCAGCGCTTTGGCCACAGAAGCAACGCCTGCCCCTTCCCTCCTCATCCTGCTGCCTGGAAGCTCGGAGCATGGAGTCTTTGGGATGAGGAGAACAACAACTTTGTTTTGGCCATCCAGACTCCTGCTCTCAACCCTCTCACTTAGGACACCTAGGGGATAACGCCATCCCCTTCTCAGGAAAAGAAAAGCCCTTGCCTTCTGGCCGAAGCTCTTCCTCTGCGTCCCCCCCAAAACACCCCCCCCCCCAGAAAGGAAAGTGCTTCCCACGTCTCCCCCGCTGGCGTGTTTCCCTCCCCCTTTGGAGCCCATTGTCTTCGGAGCAGCTTGGAATCGAGATTCCAAACATGGTCCTCTTTAGACTAATAACCTCAGGTTGTTTTTAGCGAGATCCACTTCAAATGTCAAGGTTCTAGATGGAGAAACTTGTCGTCTTCTTTTTCTACTCTACTGTTGACTTGTGTCCTGCAGCATAATATTAATTGTTAACACGACGGTGTTTCTGTACACAAGTGGGTGGGTTGTGGGTGGGAGTGATGACCTTTCATTTGTTGGTTTGTTCCTCCTCCCCTTCTAGTCTGGTCCTGTATGTGGGGAGCGGGAATGGGGAGACCTTCGTTTCTTGCAACTCAGCCACTTAAATTTTGTGAAATAAAAATGCAGGTTTTTTTTAAAAACAAAACACATCTGTGCTCCGTGTGTTCATTAGCCAGAACCAAGCTCAGAAGTGGTTTGGTTTGGATTCTTGCTATGGGTTTGAATGAATGACTGCCCTCCATTCAAATGCTCTCTGGGATGAATGGACAGAAGGTGTCGTCCACCTCGCTCCTTGACCCTGGCTCCTTGGTTACACAGCCAAAAACATTCCTCTTCCGCCTTCGGCTAATTAAACAATCGATGGGCCTTTTAAACTAGAGAGGGTATAGCTTTGGTTTGTTAATATGTCTTTGTGTTTGTTTATTGCAGACCGCCCCATGATCCTCGGATGAAGGGCGCTTTAGAAATTGAATAAATATAAAAATAAATAGAATCGTCCAGGAGAACATTGAACTAGGGAGTTGCACCCCTTTACCCATCTGCCCTTCCCATCAGGCGTCGTTAACGACACGCACAGTGCATTTTAATAGATAAAAAGTTGCAGGGGCAAGATGGTGGAAAAAGCATTTTCATGTGATGTAAGTGCTAGATGATAGTCTCTTGGCCAGGGGCTGATGAGGATGGAAGCGAGCGAGAAGGCTCTTTGGTGTCCAGCTCTTCTGCTGCAGACCATGATGTGATTTGAGACGGAGCGTTGGGTGAGGAGGGGTGATGTTTGGAGAGGAAGTGGTTGGGTAATACAAGGGCCCAGGGCAAACGAGAGCCTCCAACTCGCTTCTACAAATGGTTGCTATAAATAGGGCAGCTGTTCAGAAGGATGTGCAGAGAGAGAAAGGGAAGTAGCATCACGCTTAAAAGAGCCCAGTCTCTAACTCCACTTGGAACTCCGTTTGGCCTCGTTCATTAAGATGCTGAGCACCTCAGCTCTCGGACGGAACTAATCCTTTGCCTTGAAAGAGTTGAGTCCCGGTGCTCGGGACAATGCGCTGTTGAGCAAGAGGGCGGGAGGGAGGGGAATCAACAAGTGGGGGCCCCATCTGATCTGGTATTCACGGGAGCGAGGCAGCCTCTTGGCTCTCCCCTTCCAGATCAGCCCTTGCCCGGCTCTCTAGGAACAGCACTGCCCATTGTGCCTCTGCCATCTTCTTCCTCCGCTTTTCAAGGGCTCAGCACAGGGCCTTCGCTGGAGGCTTCATGAGTTCCGCCACAGCGTGCCCATCCCTACGTAACACCTTTACCAGAGTTGGGGCAAACCAAACCAAACCAAAGACCCGATGTCGTGGACTGGCAGAGAAACGGTGGAAGGAACCAGCTGGGGAATCCCCAAGGGAAGAAGGCACAGAGCTAAGGGATTTGTGGGAGGAGGAGGATGAGTGGTCAAAGGGAGAAGACTGGGAAGAGGTGGTGTCAGAAGCTGAAGAGGTAACTGCTTAATGATTAGGAAGAGTGTGGCAGAGAGGAGTCCAGAATCTGATGCAGATTCTGAGATGGGACACCAAGAGGCAGAGATGAGTCAGATTGGTTAAGAGGCATGGGGTGTCTTCCCCTCCTGCTGTGACATCTCCCCTCTCCACATCTCCCAGGACCAGGAGAGGGCTGAAACGGGCGGACTAGTGACAGGCTGCACACAGGTGCAGTCTCAGATTGCCTGGAAAAATCCCTGCAGCAGATGGGACTTAAGACAGTTGTCGGAAAGCAGGGGCTTTCAGTCTCACAACTGATTCACGGGAGAAGACCCTAACGGGGATGAGCTGCTGCACTCATTAGGCCTGACACTCAGCCAAGTCTGTGAAGATTGTGATTTTACTAATAAAGAGTTGACTCCAACTTTGAATGGTGTGGTGGCTCACTCTTTGACACCCATCTTAACCATAACCGGCTTGTGGACTTCCGGGAGACAGCTGAGAAATGAGAACGCTGGCCTGGATGGTGCTTTCATCCATTCAGCAAAGCAATTCCTGAACTATTAAGACATCTGGGACCTGTTGATTCCCTGGGTTGTTAGGTGCCCTGGGAGCATAGTTTGCTGCCCCCTGGCTACTGTTCCATCTTGCCCAATATCAACCCCTCTGACCATCAGTGGCTCTCCTGCTACAGGAGAGGGCCTTCCTCACCCCTGCTGTTTACCTGACCCTTTTAGCTGGAGATTCTGTTCGGTACTGAGCCTGGGACCTTCTGCATGCCCAGCAGGTGTCCCTGAGCTGTGGGCCCCCTCTGCAAACACCAGGAGCAATTTAAAGGAAGAGAGTGGCAAAGGAAGATTTGTTCCCCTTGCCACCTGAGTAAATGCTGGAGAATAGAAATTGCGCCACAATTCTGTCAAGGACCCCCAAGTCCAACCCAATGCAGTGCAGGAATCACAGCTAAAGAATCCCTGGCAGACAGCCACCCCCCATCAAACGATGGAGAGTCCATCACCTCCCGAGGGAGTCTGTCCTGCTGTTGAACAGCTCTCACCGTCAGAAAGATCCATCTTTGGTTGCCCTCTGCGCATGTTCTAGAGGAGAGCCTGGTTCTTGAGTGAAGCAGCCAAGGTGGTTGGCACCTTGTGGAGAGAGTTCACAGCTGGAAGCAGCAGCCGGAAATCAGAGTGCTGCCTCCGCCGCAGGGCTAGTGTTTCAACGAGCTCGTTAATTATCGAGGAGGATCCGTTCTGGCGGGTCTCTAGAGGGCTTCCCGAGGCCTTGCCTTGCAAGCGAAGAAGAGAGAGTGCAGTTGAGCCAGAGCTGAGGCTTTAGCACACAGGTAAGAGCATGGATCCAGCCCAATCGCCTTCTAAATCCGGCCCGCAGACGGTCTGGGTATCAGTGTGTTTTTACATGAATAGAATGTGTCCTTTTATTTAAAATGCATCTCTGGGTTATTTGTGGGGCATAGGAATTCGTTCATTCCCCCCCCCCCAAATACAGTCCGGCCCCCCACAAGGTCTGAGGGACAGTGGACCGGCCCCCTACTGAAAAAGTTTGCTGACCCCTGGGCTAGACGTGGGAGGCACATTCGCAATGCGCTGTGTCTGCACACACACAGATCGCGATTCGGTGCTTCTGTGCATGCACAAAGCACGATTTAGTGCTTCTGCGCATGCGCAAGCACCGAAACCCAGAAGTAACCCGTTCCGGTACTTCCGGCGTGTCCGTAACCCAAAAACACGCAACCTGAAGCGTCTGTAACCCGAGGTATGACTGTATAGTCCAGCCCCCTCGCAAGGTCTGAGGTACAGTGGACCGGCCCCCTGCTGAAAAAGTTTGCTGACCCCTGGGTGAGAGGCTAGCCTGGAGCGCTAGGGAGCCAGAGGCAACATTGTAAAATGCCACCTGCCCACCTCAGACCCTGCTGGATCTTAGACCAGCTGCGAACAGAAACTCTTCTATCTCAGGGCACCCTTGCCTTGCACAGCTCACTACTCCTCTGAATAGAACATGTGAAGACCCTGCTGGATCAGGCCCGTGGCCTATCTGTTACAGCATCCTGTTCCCACAGTGGCCAACCAGATTCCCATCATGGGAAACTGTGTTTTAGCTTAAGGCTTGCGGTCTGTTTGTCCTCCTGGTCCCTCCATACCAGCAGTCTCCCCTCCCTATAAAGTGGTATCTTGGTTGCCGAACTTAATCCGTTCCGGGCATCCATTCAACTCCCGGAACCATTCGAAAACTGAGGCGCGGCTTCCAATTGGCTGCGGGAGCTTCCTGCATGTGTCGGACGTTCGGCTTCCGAAAAACGTTCACAAACCGGAACACTCACTTCTGGGTTTGAGCCGATTTGTTCAGGAGCCAAGCCAATCGAGAACCAAGGTACCACTGTATATGAGCTTTAACCCTTCTCCTTGGCTCAACTCCCAGACAATGAATTTCAGATCAGTGCTCACCCTGGCTGGAGGGCGTGGGGGAAAGCAGCAAAAGCCCACATGGATGTTGTTGGCTGAGCAGCAGGCCCTGGCGAGGGGAGGACGGAAGGGGAGCAGCTGCCCCAGATTCATGGGAAATAATAATTCTGACCCTGTTTTCTGTATTGGGCAGAAAACACAGCAAGGAGTTGCTCATGTAGCTAGCAGAAGCTTGGCAGGAGAGGTTTCTTGAAGCTGGCGCACATGTCGTGGGCACTTATCTGTGGCCCACATGCCCCCAGAGCAAAGGCTGGTCCGTTGTGCAGTGTCTAGACCATGGGTAGGCAAACTAAGGCCCAGGGACCGGATCCGGCCCAATTGCCTTCTAAATCCGGCCCACAGACAGTCCAGCAATCTGCGTGTTTTTACATGAGCAGAATGTGTCCTTTTATTTAAAATGCATCTCTGGGTTATTTGTGGGGCATAGGAATTCATTCATTTCCTTCCCCAAAATATAGTCCGGCTACCCACAAGGTCTGAGGGACAGTGGACCGGTCCCCTGCTGAAAAAGCTTGCTGACCCCTGGTCAAGACGCAAATGGAAAGGAGATTTGGAAGGGAAGACGTTGCAATACATCCTGCACATAACATGGTATTTGATGTGCGTGTGACTGTCAGAAGTGGATGCACCTAGGAAATGCTCTGGGCGACAATGCCTCTCCAAAAAATGAAAAGTCGGATACAAGGAAGTCCTTCACAGAGGTGGGCTTATTTCTCGCGCTTGATCTGGAGAGGTGTGTGTACGGTGCTGTGGGTTAAACCACAGAGCCTAGGACTTGCCGATCTGAAAGTCAGCAGTTCGAATCCCCGCAACGGGGTGAGCTCCTGTTGCTCGGTCCCTGCTCCTGCCAACCTAGCAGTTCGAAAGCACGTCAAAGTCCAAGTAGATAAATAGGTACCACTCTGGCAGGAAGGTAAACGGCTTTTCCGTGCGCTGCTCTGGTTCGCCAGAAGTGGCTTAGTCATGTTGGCCACATGACCCGGAAGCTGTACGCTGGCCCCCTCGGCCAATAAAGCGAGATGAGCACCGCAACCCCAGAGTCGGCCACGACTGGACCTAATGGTCAGGGGTCCCTTTACCTTTTACAACTAGTTTCCACAGTCGGAGGCCGCAACACTAATGAATACCACTTGCTGGCAACCACAGGAGCGGAGCGGAGAGGGCTGCTTGATTGTTTCCAACAAGCCTCTGGCCGGCCACTGGA